CAGAAGCAAGTGCTGCTACATTGCTAAAGAGCTTTTCACTCTCACAATATGTTGCTTAGCAGAACACCTACTAAACAGTTCTAACTTGCTTAATGCATCATTTTATGAAATCAAGAGTGAAACAGGTGGTTTCTGTTGTTAATTAAATGGCTTACAAAGCTGGTTTGACATGCATTCTTGTCTCATATGGGCATGCTGTAAAATGTACATGCTGGATGGATAGATGCTCAACTTCCAGTTACACTTTGACACCCCTCTAATGTCTTCCGTATGTGGCAAGGATTAAAACATAGCACAGTGTCCTATCAGTCCAAAATGCAGCTCTTGCAAGGTGACTGCTTGTCATGTCAAGCACATGATGAAAAAGTGGCAATAAAACAAAGAGACAAACAAAACAGTGAAGCTACCTCTGTAGTGAATCTAGACTATAATTTTTCTTTTGCTGTCAAGTTTCTCTACTCCACTCCCATCTTATTCAACAAGTACATATACTAAAAGACTCACAGAACCCCCTCCACACACACTGTATGCATAACTCAGTAGGCAACCAAATATAATTCTAAATGAATATGCAATATTAATAGATTACTTTGGGTCCCTAGGAACTCTTAGCATCAGAATAAGGTAATTTGAGGTTACCACTTTTCCAAACCCTCTCATCATAAATGTTCCTGGAGAGTAAATCTAAAGTGACTGATGTAATTGAAAAGCAGCAGGCCATTAGTCGGCATACCTTTGGCTCATTCTGTTCAGCACTGTTCTCCACAAATCAGCTGTGGTCTGCTATCACCTTTGTTCACAACCCTTAAAAAATCAATAAAATGCAACTGAGTGATTCCTTAAAATGGATGTCTTATAACCACATGCATTCATTTATTAAAGCACTCTTTTTTAACATCCCATCAGAGAGAGGACACCATTTTCAGAACTACATTCTGTGAAGGTTTAGAAAATGTTCAATCAACCAGAATAACATGCATTTTCAGACACGCTAACACAGTGGAACTCTAGGGATGTCGGTGTCTTTATTACAGACTGCTCTCAAAAATATTAGTCTATAAATATATATAAAAAAACCCCCATCTCAAACACTTTGAGCAAAGTAAAAGACTATAGGCCTCTCCAGGCTCTAAACTGACTGGAAAGCAAAGAAAGCTTGTTCTAAATGATCCATTATCCATTTTATCACAAACAGGAGTGTTTCAGTTTTTTATTGGCCTTTAATAAATATTTTGTTCATTTTCTAAATTATATTTAGAATAGCGAGAGCAGACGTGTTTATTGCTTCTCTGTCTGTTCTACGATATTTTCACTTCTGTTCTTTTCATATTGTCAAGGCTTTGAGCTCTGAGCAAAAACTCTACAACTACTACAACTACTGAAATGCCTCCAAAAGGGAAAAGAGCTAATAAATCTGAGCTGAACGATGGTGTTGAGGCGGAAGAGGACTTGTTTACAGTGGTGCAAGTTGCTGAGATGCTGGACCGGCAGCGCAGTATGCACACTGCGCTTATGGTCCAACTCAATGAGAGTTTCCAAGGCTTTGTGAAACTAATTATGGAGTTGAACCAACAGCAAGAAAACTTCAAAGGCTTTGTGCAACTAATTATGGAGACAAACAACAAGAGATTCGACGACTTGACCAGAGAAATACAGGAGATAAAAACGAGTTCGCACTTTACCCAGCGAGAGGTGGATGTGATTAAGGCTGCAATGGGTGAACAGAAAACACAAACCGAGGAAGCTAAGGATGATGTCTACAAAACATATGAGAGTTTAATAACTATAACGGACAAAATGGAGCATCTGCAAGCACAGTCTAAGCGAAAAAACTTGATCTTTGAGGGAATCAAGGAGACAACTGGAGAAAGCTGGTCAGATGCAGAATGTAAAGTGAAGGAGATTCTGAAAAATAATCTGCAAATTCATCAAGAAACTGAGATGGAGCGGGCTCACAGAGTCGGGAAAGCTTCGGATCATGGTCCGAGGGCGGTACTGGTGAAGTTGATGAAAGAGAAAGATAAGGTCTGCATATTGCAACAGGCAAAGAAGCTTAAAGGATCTAGTATTTATATAAATGAAGATTACACCGACGCTGTGAGGAAGAGAAGGGAGTTGATGCCGAAGTTAAGGGAGGCCAGGGAGAGGTATATTGATATCTGCGATGTCAGATGAGTGTTGAAACCAACAACAACAAGCATGACCCATGTACGGAATGAGGCAAGTGATTTGTTACAGAAGTTAATAGATTTTGAGGGACTGGAGCTGGAACTGAACACTATTGGGAATACTGAAATTCATTATCATGAACCGGACGAAGATTTTGACCCTGAAATAAACTTTTTTAAGAACTCTGAAAATAACTGCAAGTATTACACGGATGAGCAGTTTAACTGTAATGTCAAGACTGAGAACAAATTATCATTAATTCACTTTAATAGCAGAAGTTTATACGCAAACTTTCAGAGTATAAAACATTATCTTAGTAGTCTAAAACATTCTTTTAATATAATTGCTATTACTGAAATGTGGATCAATACTGTAAGGGGAATGGATTTTGACCTTGAAGGCTATGACTTGGTATGCACAAACAGAGAGAATAAGATGGGAGGTGGTGTGGCCTTGTACAGTACATAGATAAAAACTTTTGTTATAAGAAAGTGGATAAAATGTCAAGGGTGGTAGATAATTTGCTGGAGTGTGTGACTGTAGAAATACTCGTGGAAAAAAAGAAAAATGTTGTAATAAGCTGTATTTATAGTGCACCTGGAGCCAGCATAGAAAAATTTAATGACTGGATAGAGGAGAACTATTTGACAATAAGTCATAAACTAATATTCATATGTGGCGAATTCAACATTCACTTGTTAAACCCTAACAAGCACACAGGAACGGAGGAGTTTATCAACACTTTACACAGATGCAGTTTATACCCAAAAATCACAAAACCAAGTAGAGTAACAGCCCAGCATGCGACACTAATAGATAATATATTTACCAATGATATTGAAAGCAAAATGACAAGTGGATTACTTATAAATGATATTACTGATCATCTGCCTGTATTTCTGGTTTATGACTGCCATATTAGAAAAGAAAGGCAAACAGCAAAACTGTACTACAGGAGGGTGATTAATGAACAAACAGTACGGAG